AGAGCCATCTGGACAAAATAATAGAACACACATCTTCTTGTTGACTATGATACTAACCAAATTTGTCTCTGCTATATTCACTTCTCATATGGTGGATCTCTCTAGCCCCATTCGATATGATCATATTTCAATAGTTTTGGAGTGTGTCTATGCTACAACATAATTTATGGATAGTATGGATGGAACTCACCGTTAGATGTCGCCTATATCGTTTCGATGGGAATAACTGAACATTTTTGAGTCGCTAAAATTATAGACAAATTAAAACAAGTACAACGAAAAGTTAGTTTTGTCTTTTTATCTCATCATGTTTTGCATAGCCAACATGCTGATTTTCGTGTTCAACCCACTCGACTTCGTTATCGTTTTTCAAGAATTTCACTTGATTATTCCGGAATTTTTCGATGTCATTTCTTTGTCTATATTTTCATTTATATTTTCATCTATGCTGAAATTAAAACCCCTGAAATATCAATAATTGCAGCATATTTGTCAATTGAAACTCTTCTATAATATATCACATTTATTGAAGTCGATTTCTTGAAATATATGTTTTCAAATAAATTAATAAGCACATTTGACTGCAGTAATCAGCATGTTGACTATATAAAAGCATTCTGAGAGCCATCTAGATAAAATGATTTTCTTCGATACTTACCTCTTTCAGATGTGTTTCTGCTATATTCACTTCTCACATGGTGAATCTCTTTAGCCCCACTCGATATGATCATAATACATTTTTTTTTTTTTCGGAGGGTGTCTCTGCTAATGGTGAATATTAAAACTTGAAATGTCACCATCCCATACACAGTTTTGGATCGTGTCTGCGCTAAACTTAGCGCCATCTAGTAGTTCATATTAAAACTAGCAACGCCAACAGCCCCAATAAAATTTGACGTGGTACAATTCAAAAGACAACATCCCCAATATAATTTGCCGTGGTACAATTCAAACGACAACATCCCCAATATAATTCACCGTGGTACATTTCAAAAGACAACATCCCCAATATATTTCACCGTGGTACATTTCAAAAGACAACATCCCCAATATATTTCACCGTGGTACATTTCAAAAGACAACATCCCCAATATATTTCACCGTGGAGAATTTACCCTAATCAACATCCCCAATAGAATTTGCCGTGGTACAATTCCCAAGACAACATCCCCATTAAAATTCACCGTGGTGAATTTACCCAAATCAACATCCCCAATAGAATTTGCCGTGATAAATCGTGGTGAATTCCCAACATCCCCATAAGCACACTACTCTCTTAAATGCATTTGGCATAAGGGGGCTTCTAACATATTGTAGTGTTGTAGGGTATCACATGGTCGGCCCCGTGCGACCATAGCCTTGGCTGACTTGTTTTATTTGAATTTGATAATTGAAACTCGCAATAGATAAAAACCACTGTAGCAGATAATAATCTTAGCAAGTTCTACACATTCTTTACAATCCGATCGCAAATATCTTCTGATCGTCTTCAATCCTCGATCATCTGCATATCTTCTATGAACATCGCAATTCTCAACAATCTCCCAACCCCATGCATTCCAAAAATCAACATAATATTTCCCACCATTAACACATTTTATCTTTATGTCGATTCTAACTAAGATGTTATGTATTCTCTGAATTGCAAAAAATTTTGTTGGATACCTTGCTTTATATTTTCAGGCTGTATCGTAATCAAATCAAACGTTTTAATCAGGTCCATAATCAGTTCATTGGCAATTGTAAATTGCCGACGAGACAGTTGTTAAATGTGTCAAAAATAAGTTATAGTTTAATATGAAGGCATATTGTGGACCTAAGTTGAAAAAAGTCAATGCCTTCAGATCACTAATGTTATATTGGTTTGAAATCATGTATAAGATATTATATGTCACATCTCTATCTTAATGTGTTTTCAAAACAGTTTGATTGTTTTATGTCTTCTAAAGTTTACTCGATTTAACCTTAATTAAATTCTTCGATTTCAAGCGTGTAGTAATTATTGCCCCCAGTCAATTTTGTTTTTACATGTATCTCTTGTAATTTTTCACTGGCAACTTCATGGCGGCATGGTTGGCGGCGAGCGCACAAATGCCAAGGATTTTCATTAACACCACCGTCGAAGTCTGCTGTTGCAGTATCTAATTATTGCACGAAATCCACGATATTATGCTGGATCAAATTGCATCAGACGTAACTTAATCTCATCGTGTGCATGTTTAGCCAATAATTCTTGCATTTGAGGCTCATGTAAAATTCTGTTTGCCGGCGAGATTAAATTCGAAGCAAAGCGTTGAAGTTTAAATTGGGAAATGTGGATATTAAATTCAATTTGAATGTAAAGAAAATTTCTTCAAATATTTATTTATGGGAGAAATCAATAAAGAACAAATATCCACCAAGTCCACGCAAATAAAATTATTTGTCTAAATTCTTAAATGAAGGACTAAAACGTATAAAAATACTCGAGTTATTTTCTCGCGTTGCAATCTGCAATTATTGTTAGTGCTTCAGACCATAAGACGTGGAATTGTTTAGAGACTATCTTTATGTTAATAGGGTTTTCAGAGGGCATGGATTTTTATATAATTTTTCCAAGGCCATATTTAGGTTAATAAGTGCGGATTTTTTAATTTTTTCTCAAGTCAATAGGCGTGGTATTTTTCACGAATTTTTCAAGGACCATCTTAAGGTTAATAGTTGAGGATTCTATAAAAAAATTAAAATCATTTTCAGTTTAACTGGCGGGGATTTTTTAAGAAGTTTTCGATTACCCACTTCAGGTTAATAGACGTGTATTGTTTTAAGAACTTTTCAAATGCCAAATGTCTTTAGGTCATCAGGCGTGGATTTTTTAGGAATTTTTTAAAGACCATCTTCAGGTCATCAGCGGTGGATTTCTAAGAATTTTTCAAGGACCATCTTAAAGGTCATCAGGCGTGGATTTTTTAAGAAATTTCCAACCACCATCTTCAGGTCATCAGGTGTGGATTTTTAAGAAATTTTCAAACACCATCTTCAGATCATCAGGTGTGGATTTTTTTAAGATTATTCAAAGACCATTTTTAGGTCAATGGATGGTGTTGATTTTTTAAGATTATTTAAAGACCATTTTCAGGTCAATGGATGGTGTGGATTTTTTAAGATTATTTCAGGACCATTTTCAGATCAATGGATGGTGTGGATTTTCTAAGAAGTTATCAGTAGACATGGATTCAGAGCAATAGGCATGAATTTTTTTTTTTAGAATTTATCAAAGGCCATCTTCAGGCCAGTAGGTGTGGATTTTCTAAGAAGTTTTCTAAGACCCTCTTCAGGCCAGTAGGTGTGGATTTTCTAAGAAGTTCTCTAAGACCCTCTTCAGGTCAATAATCATGGATTTTTAAGAAGTTTTCAAAGTCCCATTTCAGGTTAATCGGCGCGCATTTTCTAAGAAGTTTACAAACACCCTCTTCAGGTCAATGAGCGTGGATTTTTAATGAGTTTTGGAAGACTCTCTTTAGGTCAATAAGCGTGGATTTTTTATTTTTTTTTTTGTTTGCAAATTTTTATAAAGAATTTTTTCCTTAGAAAAATCAATCTGAACAAGTAAACAAGCAGCTAAGTGCGGCTGGCTCGAATCTTTAATACCCTCCACCGTTTGGAAAAAACTTAAAAATGTTAAGAAAAGTTCGTCGAAAAATAACGTTTATAGGAAAACCTTTTAATGGGGGCTATACGAAGACATGGACCGGCATGAGCAATTTTCAGTTATAGACGGTAGTACCTACTGGGAACTTGAAATACGAAATTAAAAACAATATCGATTAAAATGTCGCTAAAATCATTAAAATACCGAATATCGGGAGGTATCGTTATTTGGGGGCTATACGAAGACGTGGTTCTGCATAGAAAATTATCTGTCATAGGTTATAGTACCCATTACGACCTTTAAATGCGAAATTTGAAAAAAAAAGGTGAATACTGCCACTAAAATCAAAAAAAAACAGAATATAGGGGGTTCCGTTGTGTGGGGTTATGCGATATTGTAGGCCTATATAGGCAATTCTATTCCAGGGAGTATATGAGAAACTCCTTATATATGAAGTTCAGATAATACCATTGAAAAATGTGGCTAAAATCCACAAAATACCGAATATGGGGGGTACAGCTGTATGGGGACTATACGATATTGTGGATCGATATACCCCATCTCCGAACTTGACCTGGCTGCACTCAAAACACTGACCTGTGTTCCTATACTAAATCATTTTGTGTCTAGCGTGATTACAACATTTGCACAGACGGACGGACGAACAGGGCAAAATGGTCTTAGAATATTACTCTGTTCAATAATACACATACATTTCCATACTATGCATGCTGGAGGGTATAAAAATCATTCCGCACTTGTAATAATCTGAAACATTCGTTTTTCTTTTAGCAATTCCCATTCATCTCATATATTTTCCTAAACAAATATTGGATGTGCCTCGGCCTGCCTATGAATTGAAAATATTTCTACTCGGCGTGAAATTAGCTTCAGTGATGCTGAAACGAAATTGCGATAAATCGGTTTCTTTGACTTGGCCGGGTGTATTTTTTTTTCAAACGGTGCAAACAATAAAGAGTTTTTTCTTCGTTTCCAAATCAACGACGTCAGTCAACAAATTGTTTTCACTGAACATTCTTTTGTGATTTTCTTATACCCCCACGGGTCGGAGTCAATTTTGTGCATAGGTAGAAATTGATTGTCGTTAAAATGTAAAAAAAATTGAAACTGCCGTCAAAGAATTGTGATTGGGCTGTAACTGCTGTTTGTAAGAGAAAAAAAGAGGAATCGGTAAAACGAGAAACAACCAGACTGTGTATCGAACACCTCCATATTAACCTGGAACCCAAGGCACAGCGAGAGCCATAAAACCACTTAAGAAGTGTAAACAATGTGGGTTCCTTTTTATTGCAATTACACTTCTAAAACCTCTACAGAACCTATCGATAGGAAAAAGGAATGCAAAATATTTTATTTTCTTAAATTGCTTTTATTTTCAAATAAATTGATATTTGTTCGTAAATTGTTGCTGGTATCTCTCGAATAGTTTAAAACTGTTTAATTTAATTACAATAAATATTTTTTTTTGAATGATCTATTTACATATTTAAGGAAACCGCATGCATATCCTTAACTGTAATGTGCTAAGAACTGAACTCATTCATCCTTTGGCAAACACGTGGCCTTGCTCTTCTTTACACACTTCTTGCTGACAATGTCGAAACGTTGATCATCTTCACAGCGCAGATGAACGAACTTGTTGTGACTGGATTTCTCGACACAACGATAGTATTTCTTGCAGTCTTTCACGTCGGGGAACACGTCGTCTTCGTCGCATCTCTTGCTCTTGATCTTCTTTAGAATCTTTTTGATCAACTCCTTCTTGGCTTCTTCCTCCTGCTTCTTTTTATCATGTTCGGACTCCTTGGAACTCTTCTGCTCTTCACTCTTGTCGTGCTTCTTTTCTTCACTCTTGTCGTGTTTCTTCTCTTCGCTCTTGTCGTTTTTCTTCTCTTCGCTCTTGTCGTTTTTCTTCTCTTCGCTCTTGTCGTGTTTTTTCTCTTCGCTCTTGTCGTGTTTCTTTTCAGCCGAATTGTCCTTATCCTTGTTCTTTTCTTTGGACTTGTCCTCTACAGATGTATCCTCCTTGGATGCGGGCTTGTGTGGTTTCGATTCGTTGGAGTTATTTTCAGCGGATGAATCATGGTTAGGCCAATTTGGTCTGTTCGGACGGCCAGGTCGACCGGGACGACCAGGTTTTTCAGGGCGTCCAGGACGTCCGTGTTCGACTCCACCAGGTAGGCTAGGATCAACGGGGACATTGGGATCGACTGGTGCGTTAGGATCGACAGGGGCATTGGGATCTACTGGCGCATTAGGGTCGACAGGAGCATTGGGGTCGACTGGAGCATTGGGATCGACAGGAGCGTTAGGATCAACAGGGGCATTAGGATCGACTGGTGCGTTGGGATCTACTGGCGCATTAGGATCGACAGGAGCATTGGGGTCGACCGGGGCATTGGGGTCGACTGGTGCGTTGGGATAGACTGGTGCGTTAGGATCGACAGGGGCATTGGAATCTACTGGCGTATTAGGATCGACAGGAGCGTTAGGGTCGACTGGCGCATTAGGGTCGACAGGAGCATTGGGGTCGACCGGGGCATTAGGGTCGACTGGGGCATTAGGGTCGACTGGTGCGTTGGGATCGACTGGTGCGTTAGGATCGACAGGGGCATTGGGATCGACTGGTGCGTTGGGATCTACTGGCGCATTTGGGTCGACTGGTGCATTAGGATCGACAGGGGCATTGGGATCGACTGGTGCGTTGGGATCTACTGGCGCATTTGGGTCGACTGGTGCATTGGGGTCGACCGGGGCATTGGGGTCGACTGGTGCGTTGGGATCGACTGGTGCGTTAGGATCGACAGGGGCATTGGGATCTACTGGCGCATTAGGGTCGACAGGAGCATTGGGGTCGACAGGTGCGTTGGGGTCGACTGGTGCGTTAGGATCGACTGGTGCGTTCGGATCGACGGGTGCGTTAGGATCCACTGGTGCATTAGGATCGACAGGAGCGTTAGGGTCGACAGGTGCGTTAGGATCTACTGGCGCATTTGGGTCGACAGGAGCATTGGGGTCGACTGGGGCATTGGGGTCGACAGGTGCGTTAGGGTCGACGGGTGCGTTGGGATCAACTGGTACATTAGGATCGACAGGAGCGTTAGGGTCGACTGGGGCATTGGGGTCGACAGGTGCGTTAGGATCGACAGGGGCATTAGGATCGACTGGTGCGTTCGGATCGACTGGTGCGTTGGGATCTACTGGTGCATTAGGATCGACAGGAGCATTGGGGTCGACCGGGGCATTGGGATCAACTGGTGCGTTAGGATCTACTGGCGCATTAGGGTCGACGGGTGCGTTGGGATCTACTGGTGCATTAGGATCGACAGGAACGTTAGGGTCGACCGGGGCGTTGGGGTCGACAGGTGCGTTGGGGTCGACAGGTGCGTTAGGATCGACAGGGGCATTGGGATCGACAGGAGCGTTAGGATCAACAGGGGCATTAGGATCGACTGGTGCGTTCGGTGCATTAGGATCGACAGGAGCATTGGGGTCGACTGGGGCATTGGGATCAACTGGTGCGTTAGGATCAACTGGCGCATTAGGGTCGACAGGAGCATTGGGGTCGACAGGTGCGTTAGGATCGACAGGGGCATTAGGATCGACTGGTGCGTTGGGATCGACTGGTGCGTTGGGATCTACTGGCGCATTAGGATCGACAGGAGCATTGGGGTCGACCGGGGCATTGGGATCAACTGGTGCGTTAGGATCAACTGGCGCATTAGGGTCGACGGGTGCGTTGGGATCTACTGGTACATTAGGATCGACAGGAGCGTTAGGGTCGACTGGGGCATTGGGGTCGACAGGTGAGTTGGGGTCGACTGGTGCGTTAGGATCGACAGGGGCATTGGGATCGACAGGAGCATTAGGGTCAACTGGTGCGTTAGGATCGACTGGTGCGTTGGGATCGACAGGAGCATTAGGGTCAACTGGTGCGTTAGGATCGACAGGAGCGTTAGGGTCCACAGGTGCGTTTGGATCGACAGGAGCATTGGGATCGACTGGTGCGTTAGGATCGACTGGTGTATTGGGGTCGACTGGAGCATTAGGGTCGACAGGAGCATTAGGATCGACGGGTGCGTTGGGATCGACAGGTGCGTTGGGATCTACTGGCGCATTAGGATCGACAGGAGCATTGGGGTCGACCGGGGCATTGGGATCAACTGGTGCGTTAGGATCAACTGGCGCATTAGGGTCGACGGGTGCGTTGGGATCTACTGGTACATTAGGATCGACAGGAGCGTTAGGGTCGACTGGGGCATTGGGGTCGACAGGTGAGTTGGGGTCGACTGGTGCGTTAGGATCGACAGGGGCATTGGGATCGACAGGAGCATTAGGGTCAACTGGTGCGTTAGGATCGACTGGTGCGTTGGGATCGACAGGAGCATTAGGGTCAACTGGTGCGTTAGGATCGACAGGAGCGTTAGGGTCCACAGGTGCGTTTGGATCGACAGGAGCATTGGGATCGACTGGTGCGTTAGGATCGACTGGTGTATTGGGGTCGACTGGAGCATTAGGGTCGACAGGAGCATTAGGATCGACGGGTGCGTTGGGATCGACTGGTGCATTAGGGTCGACGGGGGTATTGGGATCTATTGGTGCGTTGGGATCGACAGGTGCATTGGGGTCGACTGGTGCATTTGGATCAACTGTTCCGGTTGGTTCTGTCGGATATACTGGTGCTGTAGGATCGACTGGAACATTGGGGTCCACTGGGGAATTGGGATCAACTGGTGCGTTAGGATCAACCGGCGCAGTAGGGTCGACTGGTGCGTTGGGATCTACTGGTGCATTAGGATCGACAGGAGCGTTAGGGTCGACGGGTGCGTTGGGATCTACTGGTGCATTGGGGTCGACAGGGGTATTGGGATCTACTGGTGCGTTGGGATCGACTGGTGCGTTAGGATCAACTGGCGCATTAGGGTCGACGGGTGCGTTGGGATCGACTGGTGCATTTGGGTCGACAGGTGCATTGGGATCGACTGGTGCATTTGGATCAATAGTTCCGGTTGGTTCTGTCGGAAATACTGGTGCTGTAGGATCGACTGGTGCATTTGGGTCGACAGGTGCATTGGGATCTACTGGTGCACTAGGATCAACTGGTGCGTTGGGATCTACTGGAGCATTAGGGTCAACTGGTGCGTTAGGATCGACTGGTGCGTTGGGATCGACAGGAGCGTTAGGGTCCACAGGTGCGTTTGGATCGACAGGAGCATTGGGATCGACTGGTGCGTTAGGATCGACGGGTGTATTGGGATCGACAGGGGCGTTAGGGTCCACTGGTGCGTTAGGATCGACTGGTGTATTGGGGTCGACTGGAGCATTAGGGTCGACTGGTGCATTGGGATCGACAGGTGCGTTAGGGTCAACGGGGGCATTTGGATCGACTGGAGCATTAGGGTCGACTGGTGCATTGGGATCGACAGGTGCGTTAGGGTCAACGGGGGCATTTGGATCGACTGGAGCATTAGGGTCGACTGGTGCATTGGGATCAACAGGTGCATTTGGATCACCAGTTGCGGTAGGTTCAGTCGGAAATACTGGTGCTGTTGGATCTACTGGAGCATTGGGATCAATTGGTGCAGTGGGATTGACGGTTCCTGTTGGTTCTGTAGGTAATACTGGCGCAGTAGGATCAACTGGAACATTGGGATCTACAGGTGTATTGGGATCCACTGGTACATTTGGGTCAACGGGGGCACTTGGGTCGACTGGTGCGTTAGGATCGACAGGGGCATTGGGATCCACTGGCGCATTAGGGTCGACAGGAGCATTGGGGTCGACTGGAGCATTGGGATCGACAGGAGCGTTAGGATCAACAGGGGCATTAGGATCGACTGGTGCGTTGGGATCTACTGGCGCATTAGGATCGACAGGAGCATTGGGGTCGACCGGGGCATTGGGGTCGACCGGGGCATTGGGGTCGACCGGGGCATTGGGGTCGACTGGTGCGTTGGGATCGACTGGTGCGTTAGGATCGACTGGTGCATTGGGATCGACAGGTGCGTTAGGGTCAACGGGTGCATTTGGATCGACTGGAGCATTAGGGTCGACTGGTGCATTGGGATCGACAGGTGCGTTAGGGTCAACGGGTGCATTTGGATCGACTGGAGCATTAGGATCTAATGGCGCATTAGGATCAACAGGCGCATTTGGATCAGCAGTTCCGGTAGGTTCAGTCGGAAATACTGGTGCTGTTGGATCTACTGGAGCATTGGGATCAACTGGTGCAGTGGGATCGACGGTTCCTGTTGGTTCTGTTGGAAATACTGGTGCTGTTGGATCAACTGGGACATTTGGATCTACTGGTGCATTGGGGTCGACTGGTGCGTTTGGATCAACCGGAACATTTGGATTTACAGGTGCGTTAGGATCAACGGGTGCATTAGGATCGACCGGAGCATTGGGGTCGACTGGTGCGTTAGGATCAACCGGAGCATTTGGATCTACAGGTGCGTTAGGATCAACGGGTGCATTAGGATCGGCCGGAGCATTGGGATCGACTGGTGCATTAGGATCGATTGGGGCATTGGGATCGACAGGTAAATTGGGGTCGACTGGTGCGTTGGGATCAATTGGTGCATTCGGATCAACAGGATTGGGATCAACGGGCACTGATGTTGGATTAACTGAAGGTAAGGTAGTTTCCTGTACACTACCCTGTGTTGTTGTTTCCGGATCCACTGGAACGATAGGATCGACAGGAACGGTCGGATCAGTAGGAGCAAGTGTGGGCTGATCAATTGGTACTTCGGTGGTTGTTAGTGTGGGCAAATTTGGATCAATAGGAGCATTTGTTGAACTGGGTACAACCGGAGCGACAGTAGTTTCAGCTGGCAATGAAGGATCTAGCGGTGCAGCTGTAGTCTCAATGGGAACTTCAGGAGCAACTGTTGTTTCAATGGGCAGCGATGGATCAACAGGAGCCAGAGTAGTTTCAACAGGTACTTCGGGGACAACAACACCAGCTGTGGTCGTTTCGATGGGAGCCTCAGGTGTAACAACGGGAGCCGTTACAGTAGAAGATACAACGGGTAGACCTTCAGTAGTGGATGCCTCTGGTGCGGCTGAAGATTCTACAGGCAAAGCCGGATACCTGCTTGGGCCACTGGTGGGAATGGGTGTAGTTGTTGTTGTTGTTGTGGAACTATTTTCACTGCCAACCAATGGAACTTCTGTTGATGTTCGAATGGGTACACAAACTTCAACGCCATCATTTATGCAACGTGAATTGGCCGGACATTTCTTGGCACCGCCAGAAGCGTACGTTTGACCATCGACTGCGGCCACACAATCCTTGTACATCAGAGGACCTACGCAGACTGCGCTCTTGCCATTGCAGTTGATACCATTAAGACCTCCTTGAGCGGCATTGTCAGACGGAACATTTTCCACAATTTCTTGGGTACTGGCCAGTGCCGACAGCTATAAATGTTTGAAGAAGTAAAATTTAATATTAGTTTGAGTGATTTTTGGGTAAATGAGTATGTTTTTCAATTGTTAAATATTTTTTGGTGCATTAAGTAATTCTTCATTGGTGCAGGTTATAAAGTGATACGTGCGGATATATCATAAAGTTACATCACTTGTACGATTGTTGATTGCATCTGCATTTAGTGATCTTATCGATATCCATATTAACAGTAATCCCGGTAACTTGACAATGAAAAATTATTGTTGTTAGTTGTGGGCACAATCAACGACTTTTTGGTGCTAATTTTTTTTTTTTTATTTTTAAATTGTATAATTCAATAACTTTTTTGAGCTATCGGAGATTTCGTCGTTAATATTTGGCACATTTTTCAAAATTACACACTAGATATATCCAATGATAGTGAAGCATTGATTTTATTTTATTTTTTTAAATATATTTTTGGAAAACTGATTTTTGTTCTTTGAAAACTGATTTTTGTTCTTTGAATTGAAATTGCACAAATCACTTGGATTTTTTTGCTATAAATTTTCACAGTCTGGGATTTTCTCTTTTATAGCCTCTCTGGGGTTTTCTCTTATAAGAGGATGTTTTTATTTGTTGTTTTAATTACCACAAGCAGTAGGAATAATTTTGATATATCTTTCGTTGTCATCGTTTTTGGTTCGAAAAGTAAATCGTTACTATATCTGTATCAATTGTGCCTGGGCTATTTATGCGAAATTTCTTATCAACATCCGCAGATGATGTTTACATTTCTTTTTTTTGCTCCATTATCTCATGTTATCTTGAGATGATATCTCAAGATAGTTGTTATCATTTTTTGCATTAAAAGTAAATACTCGCATTTTAAGATTGGTAAAATAGGATGTCATAGGGTTGCCAATGCTATGTTTTTGAAATACTTACAAATATAGGGAGTAAATTAGAATTGTTTGGAAATGATGATTGTTCGAAATGTTGACTCTTTGTGGGGGGAGGAGGAGGAGCGGGACTAATTACCCACATCAAACTTGATCTAACTTTGATATAACAAGTAAAAAAGCAGTAAGTTCGCCCGGGCCGAACTTTGAATACCCTCCACCATTTGGAACGAATTAGAAATTTTTCAAAAAAATAAAATACATTGAAAATTCTGTTAAAATCTTTAAAATATCTAATATCGGAAGGTGCCGATATATGGGGGGATTTTCCTCCTTGTGTGGATTTTCTGATAATTACATTGGGAAATGTGGCTAAAATCATCAAAAGCCTGAATATCGGGGGTACCGTTATATGGGGGATATAAGATATTGTGGACCTATATAGACAAATACCTTTCAGGTATTAAAGTGCTCACAAAGAACTCCTTGTGTGTATTTTCAGACAATACAATTGGAAAATATAGCTGAAATCATCAAAATGCCGAATATCGGGGGGTACCGTTATATGGGGGCTATACGATATCGGTAACCTATATAGAGAACTCTATGTCAGGGGGTAAAGTGCTCACAAAGAACGCATTGTGTGGAATATCAGACAATTCCATTGAAATATGTGTGTGAAATCATCAAAATACCGAATATTGGAGGGTACCGTTATGTGGGGGATATACGATATCGTGGACATATATAGACAACTCTCTTTCAGGAAGTAAAGTACTCACAAAGAACTCCTTGTGCGGATTATCAGAAAATTCCCTTTAAAAATGTGGATAAAATCATCAAAATACCGAATATTGGGGGTACAGTTATATGGGGGATATACGATATCGTGACCTATATACACAATTCTCTTCCGAGGTATAAAGTACCCACAAGGATTGTGGATTTTCAGACAATTCCGTTGAAAACTGTGGGTAAAATCATCAAAATACCGAATATCGGTGGGGTACCGTTATATGGAGCTATACGATATCGTGGACCGATATAGCTCATCTTCGAGCTTGATCTGCCTGCAGACAAAAAAGAGATCTGTGCAAAATTATAGCTTCCTGTCTTAATTCGTTTAGAGTGTAGCGTGATTACAACAGACGGACGGACAGGGCTAAATCGTCTTAGAATTTTACGCAGATCAAGAATATATATTATATACTTTGTTGGGTCTAAAATGATTATTTCGATGAGCTACAAACGGAATGACGAACTTTATATACCCTCCATACTATGTTTGGTGGAGGGTATAAAAATTGCGATGAGAAAAGTTTAGCCTCTTTGGGGAGTTATCAAGCGCCTCGAGCAGCAAATAAGCTCCCAGTTTTAATTCACTAGAAACCACATGGGATCTAAACCGTTGTGTCCTTGATTATGGCCGATATAAATATCATTAGATAGTGACTCATAAAATATAAATATATAAAAAAGTCCGCTCTTAAAAACTCCCAGACCCGTGATTTATGATCATATTTCGACTATCTTGGTATGTGCGTGCGTCTGTCTGTCTATGTTCATTTATAAACATGATATAGGCTGAAATAAGGATTTGGTTACATTTTGCGGCAAAATAGGTTTTTTTCAATAATTACAGGGAAGACCAAGCAGATTATGAAAGTAATGCTAACAACATAAAAAGCAGTAAGTTCGGACGTGAACCTGCACAGAAAAGTTTCTGTCATAGGCTGTAGTATCCATTACGAACTTCAAATACCAAATTTAAAACAATTTCGCTAAAATCATCAAAATACCGAATATCGGGAGGTACCGTTATATGAGTGTTATACGAAGACGTGGACCTGCACTGACAATTTTCTGTCACAGGCTGTAGTATCCGTTACGAACTTTAAGTACCAATTTTGAAACAATTTCGGTGAATAATGTCGCTAATATCATCGAAATACCGAATGTCGGGAGGTATCGTTATATGGTGGCCATACAAAAACATGGACCGATATATCTTATTTTCAATACCAACCATTCTAGACATAATACAAATTGTTTTGCCAAATTTTGAAGCTCTACGTCAAATAATGTGGGCTGCATCGTGATTTCGACAGACAGACGGACATCGTTACATCGACTTAGAATTTTATGCTGATCATGATATGAGGTATGGGGTCTACAACGAATATTTATGGGTGTTACAAACGGAATGGCAAAGTTAATATAACCTCCTTTTTAAGGTGGAGAGTATAAAAAAATTTACCCGTTGCGGGTCCAGAATTGTCCAGAAGGAATGACCTTACATATACCATTTTCACACCTGATCTTCATTGATAGAAATATTGATATGTGCCGAGTTTGAAAATAATCGGATGCTCATTTCGCGTTTTATAAGCTTCATGGTTATTCAAAATCTTGACCGCTTTGACTTTGAATCTTGACAGATCTTGTCTTAGTAAAAATATTGGAGTGTACGAAATTTGAGAAGAATAGAATGCTTATTTTGCATTTTATGGTAGTAATATTATTCCACATTTTGACCCTTTGTGAGGGAGGTACCAGACGACGTTGGCCGATATTGTCCATTTTCGCACCTAATATATCACTGATGCAAATATAGGATATGCAAAAATCGGATTATCCTTTCTCTTTCTGTGCAGTAAATTATATTCTTTGAAATTTTGACATTTTGTGGGGGAGGTACCAGAAGCAGTGGACAAATATTGCCAATCTCCGAAATCGATCTAAGTTTGGCAATAATATTACAATGTACCGAGTTTGGATCAAGCCTGATACTTCGAGAATTATCCTGCGCACCAGTCAGACAGTTATTTCGATGAGACACGCTTTGACGTATCAAATGATATATACCCTCTGTAGCCATAGGGCTGAGGGTACAATAAAATTTCTCGGCGCAATTGTTCATATAGCCATCATATAACGATAACTTCCGGTATTCGGCCTTTTTTCCACGAATCGTTCCAAATTTGCTATGAAGTGTTTGTAATGAGTTCTACCCCCGCTGGCAGGACATACTCTAAATACTCCAGTATCTTAGGAAATTCTGTGTTATAAAGACTTGAGCCACATTTTCTAATAGATTTCTTTAAAATTCGGTATTTGTAGTTCGAAATGGTCTCTGGTCCATTTTAAATCTTCAAATATAGGGTGAGATAAAAAAAGCTGCAACAAAGTCAAACGATTAGATTTGTTCGAATTGGTCACTTTTGGTACGAATTATTGCCTTCAAACGGCCAATGAAATCGTCACACGCTACCCATATGTTGCCTGCGGTATTTTGGCCCATTCCCGGCGAAGAGCTTGCTTGAGGTTATCGACAGTTTGGTATTTTTCAGTGCCAACCTGGCTTTCAAAAATACTCCAGACATAGTAGTCCAACGGATTGGTATCCGGAGATTTTGGTGGCCATTGTGGCTGGAAATGAAGCGAGAAACCTCATTTTTTAAGTGCAATTTAACGCATTTGCTGAGTGCAATGGTGCTGAGTCATGTTGGAATGTCCAAGGTCTGCGGCCAAAATGTTTACGTGCCCAAGGTTTTAATACACACTTCAGAATATTTTCGCGATAATATTCGGCATTTATTCTGATGCCACGGTCGATTAATACAAGCGGAGAGCGATCATCGGCTGTTATGCCGGCGCTTGAGTTCTGGTGGCCAACCGAAGGTGCACATTTTGAGCTGACCTCTTTGGCAAGTAAACACGATCAGGTTGTTTACAAACTGCTGGACAACGAATGTTTTCTCATCGGAAAAAGCCACATTCGGCAGTTCACCACTTTCGGCCAAGCGAAGCAACTCTTTAGCTCTTTTGAGTCTATTTTCTTTCTGTTGCGGTGTAAGTTCTTGTACTTTTTGCAATTTCAATGGCTTTACCCCGAGCTCATTTTTCAATATTTGCCGAATGGAATATTGCGATGTATTCAGATCAAGAAACATATTTCGGCCACTGCGACGCGGGTTTCGATCAAGTCGCTTTTTAACTTTTCGCACCATTTCTGCTGATGTAGCTGTTTTCTTCCGTCCACTTTCTTGACGTCGGGCTACGCTATCAGTATCACGGTAACGAGCGTTGGTACGAGATACGAAAGATTTATTCACATTTAAATGGTGGAGTGCTCTAACGATACCTACTTGTGGTTTTCCAGCCAAATATAAAGAAATCACACTATCACGCTTTAATTCCATCACGAATACATTTTTTCTTTAAAATTCTCAACAAAATGGCTTTGTATGCTTGTAAACAATATACTGATCTGTCACTGGAATAATTTTAACAGCTGTCGGACGAGTGGATTAGAAATGACAGCAGTCTGAAGTTGGTTGCAGTTTTTTTCAACTCACTCTGTACGTATGTATGTATTCATAGTGGTATTGGGTATAATAAAGTCGACTGTTTTTATATTTATAAAGTCCTGGAGTTTACATAAGATTTTGAGATAAATGCCCCAAAAAATAATCGAGCTTTCTTTATTTATTATTATTTTATTTATTTATTTATTTTTTTTATACCCTACACCACATAGTGGTAAGGGTATTATGTCTTTGTGCATTTGTTTGTAACGTGGAGAAGGAAACGAGATAGACCCATAGTTACTTTTGAGAACCTTCATAGAATCACTTTCTGAGTCGATTTATGCATGTCAGTCCGTCTGTCCATGTATTCTTGTGAACAAAATGCAGGTCGCATTTATTATCCGATTGAGATGAAATTTTCCAAACAATATTTTTTTGGCCCAAGGACGAACCCTATTGAAATTGGTGAGAATCGGATCAAATTTAGATATAGCTCCCATATATATCTTCA